TTTCTTTATAATTGAAAAATAAGATTAACTGATGGTAATAGTGCACGAATAAACAAACATAATATGTTTGTACTGTTACCTTAGTTTGATTGCTGACTAGAATAGACATTAACTAAATATCTTTATCATTGCAAAGGCTGTATGACCGTGCAAAATTTAATTAAAGAGTAATGAACTATTCCCAAAAAAACGCACAAAAAACGACAAAAATAGGTCGTATAAAGTGTATTAATCTTGTAAAATCACCATTTCGTGAGCTTACTATTAAAAAAAATAAACATGATTTGTGTTAACTCTGTTACAAGAAAAAATTATTCCCATTAGTTTGAAGGGTTTATTTATATCAACGGAATGAGACAAAAAGTTTTAAAATTGATTCGAATATGGTGTTTTACAATTAGAACGGGACAATTGTGCCTTCAATGAAAATTTATACATTTTTATATTGAAAAATCAAATCGCCGGTCCAAGGATAGACCATGCCACGCGGAAATAAGATATTATTGCGGATTCGATTTTGAATTAGTTTGGTGGTCTTCTTTAAGGCAATATAAGGCACAGTGCCCTTACCCGGAGATTTCCGCGCGGCATTGTCGTTTTGTTATCCGGTTATTTTTTCTTTCATTATATAAAATGTAGAATATTTCGTAAAACACGCAAAATGTGAAAGACCATTCATCCGATTCTGCTGCGGATTTGATTTTATATGGTGGCATGGTCATTGTTGTTCTTTCTGTATACAAAATGTTGAAATTTTCGAAAAAGAAAAAAACAACACATTGTTCTCTATGTTAACTGTTGAAAAACCATTTGTCCGATTTCGTTGCAGATTTGACTTTGTAAAATTTGAATAGGTCTTTTTACGGCAATATAAGGCACTAACGCAAGCAATATGTCCAGGAGATTTCCGCGTGGCATGGTCGTTCTGTGGACCGGCGATTTGTTCTATTTGTATACAAAATGTTAAAATTTTCGTAAAACCTACGATTTATCTAGTAGGCCACTAAAGTTATGAGTATATGTAGCTTGACATCAAACAAATTGCAACACAAGCTTTATTTAGTATTTTGCAATCAATATATATGCATGGACCTTGCATTAAAACCCTAAAAAAATATACCTTCGGAAACTTGACTTATGGCAGGTAGTTTACGAGTACCTGTCCAGGGATAAAAATCGTAATATAATATCGTTATATGATTAATATGTGGCGATTGTCTTGTCTTTCTCTGTTATAGATTGGTAGTTTTTTAACCAACTTGTATTTGGTGTTTATAAAAATAGAATTTACAATGAACAATAACAGGTTTTGGCCTTTTTCAAGATTATTACCCCACCCACTCATATTAATAATGCAAAACGTTTAAATTGCATTATCTTAAAAATACATAATATTTACAACTGAAAAGAGGTTCAGGTAATATTTATATCACATAAGCTTATATAAAGAAAGAAACTTAATCACTTAAGACATTTTAGAAGCAAAATGTAACATACGTTACATCAATTACATTGACACTATTCTAGCATTTTTAACTATTTTTGAAAGATTTTTGAAAATAAAGAGAACAAACCTAAAATCCGTAGGAACAAACACTGCATCTGGTAATATACTCACTTTCTGAAAGTAACTCGTTGCTGTGTCATTTAACATATTTGTACGTTACCAAAGTCTCATCCATGCAAATATCACCCATAAATGTTATGCAAACTATCACTTTTAACATGATTTCGTAGAAATAACTTCATTTATCATCGCCAGTATTGTCCAATTATTTGTATTGCAAAACACTAAGGTAAGTTAAGATTAAATCTTCATTTTTAATGCTGAAAATTAGCTGTAGTAATAGCTATAATAATTGGTTCAATATGTACAAAATGTCAATTTTATATCATGTATCATTTAGGTTGCTAAGAAATATTCCACCTTTGAATGTCATCACATCTTGTTTATGTCTATTTATGTTTTCTTCCTTATTATATAAAGAGAATTAAGAGTGATCTACACATCTCTATGGTTCTCATAATGCTCATTAGTCCGACTAAACCTAGTCACATTAAAAACAAATATTGTCCTTTTAATAAATTTCAAAGAATTGCATAGTGAATAAAAAGCCTTCTCGAAAACTGCTGTTTTCGATGATCTTTTTCACTAGATTCGCAAGTCGTGTGTTTGCACTTTTCATGAAAAGAGCGTCTTGAAATGTTCGACTGTTACTGTTACAACAATGGTGGTAACGTATTTTAGCTGTCATGAGGCCATTTACGCCTTTGATTCTTCCGAGGACCTCACTTCACACTTAAAGTGTCGTAGTTTACACAAAGACTTAATTTAAACATGAAAGTCGAAGGTTTCAACTTTACTGACAACATCGCCACGAAGTTTATGTTATTTCTGCAACTTACACAGTTATTGCCTTAAATAAATATATATTCAAAGCTTTTCTTGTTTCTGAACTTCTAATAATAGTATGGTCTCTTGCAGTTTTCTCTTCTTGTCTTTTAAATCATAACACTACTCTTGTCTAATATGTCGGCTTTAAATCCAGTCATATAAAATGGAATCAAAAAAGAGATTACAAAAAGCATTGTCTGATCTTAAGTATAAAACTACTTATATTAAGTATAAAAGAAATAAATTTTACCCAAAAAGTGGAGTCCTCTCCAGAGAAATGCATACTTTTAATTTGGGTGCACTATAGAGCGAAACATATATTCAAAGTCAAATACAGCTTTCATGATCACAGACTGAATCAAACCAAGTCTGCAATTTTCAGTAAATTTGCTGTTTTTAATGCTTCCGAGGGATTACTTTTTTACCAGATGTTTATACATTACAACAGCAGGTGTGAAGTGCTGTTCGGCAGTCGTAAAGAGTTGCCCCGTACTTCGCTTTAGTGTTGTTATATTTTTCTGGTTCTTCAGGATCATTGAGTCCAGCACTTTTAAGTGTTGAGATTTAAGTACCGCTCAATCCGGTGCTAGGGGTATGAGGAATGTTCCACTTTTTAATTATCCCTCATGTACAGACTCAATCAAACCGACTCTACAGATTTCATGTAAATTTGCCTTTTCAATGCTTCTGAGGGATCACTTTTTTACCAGATATTTAAATAACATCTGCAACTATTATTGACGAGAGAAACATAATTAAATAAAAGGAGGCATTTTCCCTGTGGTCAGTGGTTGTCGGTATTACAGGGCTTTCATTTTTGGCTTATCAAACAAGCACCAGAACTATTTATCAATCACTCTTAATATATAGAATGAGTTATCTGCTTGTTTAGGCCCATACTTCCAATAAGATTCACAGACCATATGTTGTAGTTTTCATAAATTTAGGACGGACAGCATAAGGAAAGAAAAGCAAACAGATAGACATGCCCTATTAAAGATAGGCAGATGTTCTACACAGATTAATAGTATCTCAGAATCAAGTTTTACAACTATCAAATTTTATAATTTGGTAAAAACAATAAACAGAGAGCCAGACGGACAGAAAAGCAAATAGAAATGTTGTTAAACAGAAAGACAGACGGTGTATATGGACATACAGATATCCATATTAGCACAGACATCTCAGATTCATTGCGTTTGTATCGAAACTATCATATCGTCATGTGTTTGAAAATCGCAGAACGAATTTAACAGTCAAAAATGGGGATCTGTTACCACCGGCAAAGCAACAGTTTACTCCTAATAGCTCCTAATTAAAATTTGGAGCACAATTTAGTTAAACGATGGAGCTCAACAACAATTTGAACTACTTACTATGACTGTAAAATAATTTTTCTCCCTTTTTTGGAATCACAATTTTGAAATTACATAATTATTGTACATTCTGTATCTGTTTTTGACTCCCCTGACATCCCATATATCACTAGTATGTTTAAAAAAGATAATATATCACGCTCACTATTACCTTTCAAGTCTCATCTTACAAGGCTGGAAATCACATTGCATTATCCCGCCCAACTTAGTGTAACACAAGTAATCTGAAATGAAAACTTAGTATGTATCATACACAACGACATGTTTATACTAAAAACTTATAATCTGTTACTAATCTGTTAAAAAATATCATGCATTTATGATTCTAAAATTACTAACACTTTATTCTAAATTTCGTGCATTGTTTACCCAAACACGCTTCCGTTACATTTTGAAGCTATCCAGGATAAACTTAAAATTGTTTATTTCTATTTTTCCTACATCATAATCATCTTATTACCAAAAGGAATGTTAATTTATAGGCTAATTATTATTTATATCTTATGAAAATTGAAAAAAATCTTTACTGTTTTAAACGACAAACGCCGATTTATAAACACGCGAAAACCCATTACAATTCTTTCATAGTATTATATATTTGGGCATGTACGCGGATAAAAGTTGTAAAAACATGTAAATACAATATGAAAGTTTATACATACTTCGCACAACAGCTTCTAAATCCAACTCCATGTAGTAAATGTGTTTATTTTGATTTATTTAAATCGCGCGGCCTCATAACTTTTGTTTACCTCGACACCGGTTACAGTATAAAACTCTGTGTAGGTCAGGGTATCGTATTGTAACACGGCCAGCGATTGGCTGAAAAAAAGTGCAGGGAAAACCGTATGATTCAGTTTATACATGAGGCGATTGGATGAAAGTGGGATATTTTTAAGTATAAAAACTAATTTAAAAAGTAACGCTACAATGTTTTCTGAAGAAAATGAAATATTTCATGAGTCTCTGTGATAATTTTGACTTGGATATTTGCATTTATAAAAAGTGTATGTCAGTCCTGGGATCAGCAGAAAATTTCAATGAAATGGGGGGTAATCCTCTTTGAAGTCATTTTGCAAAAAATTTGGTTGGCTACCCCTATATAACAGGAACATTTTTATGTGTCAGGCATTTCATTCTGCTAGAAAAAATACCTCTTTAGCATGAAAACTGAATTTTAAGGTAGGATAAGGGACCATTTCTTATAATGTAAGTCTATGGAAATATTAATGTGAGTGTCTGACCTAAAGAGTTGGAAATTGGAACTGTCATAATTCACAGTAGTACTTTGTCTTCATTGATTACATCATGAAAAGCTGATATTTTGGAAGAATGGATGTATACAGCCTGTCTAGGTATGAAATTTCATTATTTCAGTGCAACTGTTGGTGTTTACAGCAGATAATGTGTCAAAGGGGTCAATCTACAAGCATTGTTTACATATGAACAAGAGTATTAGTGTTACATAAGAGTTAATAATGGTTTATATTTTCTTTGAACAGTGAATTTGAGTGATAATCAATTGGTGATATGTTGATGATGAATAATGTAGACCTTGGTCATTAAAAATATTTTTTTTCAGATTTCAAAGAAATGCTGTACATTGGCTATACACATGCCAGGTTTGAAGACTTCATGTATAACTTGACAGGACCTGATGTAAGCACATTGGCCACTTTTGATGGGTGTTGCAGGTATATCATTACAAATGCATATTGTCGGTTCAAAACTGATATATAATAATTAAAAAAAGTTTAGGGTGCTGTTTCGATTAACTTTTCGGCTTTATCTAGGGGCGGAAATTTCTTCTCTCGGCACTAATTTTTACCATTTGCTCAAATATTTAAATAGAATGTCACAAATAAATTGCTTCTTTGTCTGTTTCCTATATAAGAATGTTTTGTGTTTCATTTCCAGGCATAGATAGCATTAAAGCTCAAATAAATAGCATTTTTAAGGCTTCTGTCCTTAAAATTTACTTGGTTTCAGGGCATGAATATCAAACACATACTTAGAAATTGAAATCCATTGAAAAATGTAGCATAATTCAGTTAGGTTGCCTCTGAATAGCCTCTTATTATGTGGTTAAGAATGCAAAATAGTGATAAGAATTTATTGTTTTTCTATTTGTATATACATATTTACAAACACTCACAATTGTATAATGCCATATGTTTTTAGACTTTATGTCTGTTTTAATGCATAATTGAATGTGCATCATAATGGCCAAGGGTAAGAATTATTTTGTAGAAAAGTTTTATTGATAAGTAAAAGTTGATCTACTTTTTCACAAATCATATCAGGCACAAATTATAACACAGCTTTAGTGTCTGTGATGTGTCTATAAACAGAAAAGGCACTTATTCTGGTAGATAAATGTATAAAAAGGGTGTGATTATGCACAACTTCAGTGAATTACCTCCCTTTATTTATTGAGAAACTTAGATAAGTGCATAAATTCTAGTTTCTGGCTACCTAAATGAGAAAAAAATACACATTACTGTCCATTCCAAGTACATTTTGGTCTGAAGAGGTGATTTTACATGTTAAAACACCTGAAAGAAGGTTTCAATTGTCATATTTGACTCCAAATGAATGCAAAAGATGACCAAAAAAATGGGTGTAGAAGTCAAATTTTAGGCTTTTACTGTGCTGTTAAATCCAGAGGGAACTTGGTTTTTCCATATATTGCATTTCTTTATATCCATGTAAGAGAGAGAGACAAAAAATATAAAAAGAATTTGGCATTTTATTGACATTTAGGCTTGTATTTAAGACTATATATGCAAATATTTGGAGTAGAAAAATAGCAGGGCAGTTTTGAAAATACCTAGTTTACACCAAAATGTTGATATGTGTGTACAAATAATGTGTAATCCATAATCAGGTCATTATACAGTAGTTATTAAGTATGTTTGCTAAGCTAAATCTTCATTCAGGAAGTCTATTGGTAATAAAATGTTGAAATTTGGGTGAAAAGTCATTATTTTGAATATGGGTGGGGTGATAAAATTGCTCCCTGCTGCATCCTTTTGTTACAAAATTAGTATTTGAAGCACTTCTTGTAATGAAAACAGTGTAGTTTGCTATCTGTGTGATTTTATGGAAGTTGTTAAACAAAATTGGCTTCAGAAAATGAGTTAAGTATAAAAATCACATGCTAAAATTCATTTTCAGAATATCCAGAATGCGGCATAACGGCGCTTGTTGCAAAAAAAGGGAACTTCAAAGTTTTAAATGACTTAAAAGAGTGGTGAAAATGCATCCACATTATTGGTAATTGTATATGCAACTTCATTTATTATTAGATTTAGAATGCTAAACATTTAATATTCCCTTTAGGTCAGGGTATCGTATTGTAACACGGCCAGCGATTGGCTGAAAAAAAGTGCAGGGAAAACCGTATGATTTTTTTATACATGGAGGCGATTTGATGAAAAGTGGGTATTTTTAAGTATAAAAACTAATTTAAAAAAGTAACGCTACAATGTTTTCTGAAGAAAATGAAATATTTCATGAGTCTCTGTGATAATTTTTGACTTGGATATTTGCATTTATAAAAAGTGTATGTCAGTCCTGTGATCAGCAGAAGATTTTCAATGAAATGGGGGGTAATCCTCTTTGAAGTCATTTTGCAAAAAATTTGGTTGGCTACCCCTATATAACAGGAACATTTTTATGTGTCAGGCATTTCATTCTGCTAGAAAAAATACCTCTTTAGCATGAAAACTGAATTTTAAGGTAGGATAAGGGACCATTTCTTATAATGTAAGTCTATGGAAATATTAATGTGAGTGTCTGACCTGTATGGTGTACATGCAGAGCCATATAGAAAAACTCGAAACAAATGCAAAATTTGATTTGCTTTTTTTCTGGTTTGCCAAGGTTAGATTTTTTTAGGGTTTTTACCTGTTTTATATGATGTGTATAACCAAAAATGTAAAAAAAGCTTGTGTTGCAATTTGTTTGACGCTAAATTTTACTTTAATCGGACTATAGTTATCTGTTGAAATTATGTACTAACAAAAACGTTTCTGTTTAGATAAACAATGTGAAGTTTGTTGATACTCGCATATAGCTTAAAACATACTTCAGTCTTTTAATTTTAAATCAATATACTGGTCATTACATAATCTAATGAATTTATCGGTTTTATCCCCAAGTATTTACACAAATAAAGTTTCATTATTTCCCCTGTATTCTAACACGTTCCCGGGTCCTGGGATTCCCTGACCCACAACCTTCAACTGCTTTTAGAAGAGTATTCTTTGGGATCCGTTGTTATTCATGAGCAATGCTAGAGTTATCGTTTTCCAATTAAACAAATGGGCCCAAAAATAGATGATATTTTTATTTTTTGATTTGACATAAAACGAAATGAATGAATTATAATTAAAAGAAAACATCTGTCATTTTCCAATGTTTACATGTAATGTTTACACCTGTGTCTTTTGTCTGAAAAGGACATAAAAACGTTTTGTAAAATTTAGTTTCGTAAGCATTGGATTTTAACCATCATACAGAATATATTATACTTACGAACTATAAAAAGCAGTTTTTCATTTTGGTTATGTCATTAAGACATAAACGACAAATAATTTGAACGCTATTATATATTCTACACAATAATTTGTCGTCTTCAGCAATACTTAAAACAAAAACAATGATACCAATTTCTGCATAAACAATCTTCAATACTATTCATTGCAATGGCACAGTTATATACATTTGAAATTCTGCATTCCTGGAAGATGGACGAATGCAATATGTATAAATAAGAATGCAATCAACACACATGGATTGTAGATTAAGATACATATACTTTTGGCGGATATTCCCCTCCATAGTTCTCATTAATCTTTTCAGGTGCATGTCTTTTTAATAAGACCAAACCACCTATAAGATTGCAAATTGTTCTCTCGGGAACTGTATTTTACGTCACAGACATAATCTGTGGTGTATTTAAGATACACGTAGTTTGCAAAACAGTAAATTTTACTCAAAGTTTAATGTCATGAGCAACTTTTTAAAGCTAGCAGCATGTCAACAAGCAAAGTATTCGAATAATAGGAAATGGAATGGGTAAGACCATAAATTACTTCAGTGTAAACATTTATGTTAAACAAAATATGTGGTAAAAATGCAAATTTGTGTATGAAAGTGTTAATTCTGCTGTAACATTTCAGCATAAAAATAGCACATGCAGGAGGCCTTTTCATTATATTACTGCAAAGATGTAGACGACACTAATAGATATGGCGCAATGACAAAGAAACAAGAAACTTAAAAAAAAGAGAGCAATGGAACATAACATTCATACATCCGGAAACAAGACACAAGACACGAAACGGACAAAAGATAAAATCTTAAGACAACAAGATACATAAATCGAGGACCGAAAACAGAAGACCTACTGCAATACGCATCAACAGAACATTTCAGGAACCAACAGCAAACAGAACAGCAAATATGTTAACAAGTACGTCAAAATAACAGACAACAAAATACTTCACGGCCAAAAAAAACAACAAAAAAAAAACAAAAAAAACAAAAAACAAAAACATTAAACGGAACAAAGACAAATACAAAGTGTGATTGAATATCACACTACTAAATTAAACGGTAAACCGCATACAAATAAAAACTTAACTAATAAGAACGGACTCAACAAAATACAAAAAAGTAAAGACTAAACGGGATATCATGTTCAAATAACTAGAAACTTAACTTAAATTAATTTGAATACATGTGGTTAACGTTAAGTGTGTATCTTTTTTGGATTTCCTGATGAGTTAAACACGAGTTATTTTACGGATACGTTAGCCTTCGTTTTATATAGACTATATATAAAAATAGCTTTGATAATAAATAGCTCTATATATATTTCAATTTTCAGTTTAAATAAATATACCGGTCATTACATACGGCATAATGAATTTGGTTTTACTTTAATTAACATTATTTTTGTGGATTAAATACCGCTTAAGCCGGTGCTAGGGAGCCTGACGTTGCATATTTACATAATTTTTTAGGAACAGACTTAGGCAAACCGAGTCTGCAATTTTCAAATTCTTGTTTTCATCGATATGGATCACGCATTTTTCAGGATTGTTTTACTATCAGGATCAATATTTAAACATGGAATTTATTTCCCTGATTTAATTTGAAGCATTTTACATTATCATGTTATTATTGTTTAAGTTGTTAAATCGATTATATCATTATATGATAAAAATCGTAGAAATACCAGATATATCATATTGAACAGAGCTTGGCGATGTGTAATCACATTTTGTTTGTATTTAATACATCAGCTGATTGGATTAAAGTAATTAACCAAAATGAGCTGCTTGTTTGATTGACAAAAACAGAAAACAAATCAGGAAATATCAGTGCGTTTTTGTGACCTTGTCTTGATTTATATGTCACCACAAGCAATTTGGAATATGAGATACCGTCGAATGTGTTGTAACGTTTGATCGTTCCTTTATGTCATGTATATGTTAAATGAAGAACATAACGAAGAAAAGCCATCACATAACCTACTGAGAAGGAACAAAAAGAGTTGACTGCAATATCTGTTATACACAAGTTTGATGTAACAAAAATCTTTTATGATGATTTTTATACGTTTGACTAAATTACAACGGTCCAACATGCACTAAGATTTCAAGATTGTGCAACTATAATGAAATTGTTACTTTAATATCACAACTATTTATTAAGATTAAAGAAATCGAAAGTTAATATAATTAATTAATTATTTAATTAATTATTAAGTTTATTTAATATGAAATAATGTTAACATGATTTGTGAATATGTAACAGTTTTCGAGATCAGGCTGTAAAAATTTGTTGCCTTTAAAGGGCAGATTGCCTAATCAATAAAAAAAATGTGCTAACTGTATTCGATATGTTCACTTGTCCCTACAATTATTATCAACAATCTAATCGAGTAAAAAGAAATTATACCTGAAATATTCAGATACCTGAACTTCCTCAAAATAAAAAAATCTCACCTGCATCTTTTAAAACACTGTGATTATCATAGAAATTAACTGAATGATTTGTTCGGCTAATTTACAGCAACGGAAAAAAGCAACAGGAAAATAGGTCAAAGTTTCATGAACTTGTCTACATTAATTTGTCAACACAAACTATTTTAATAACGGAAAACTTATCATAAAAATCTGTATAAGCCCAAGTCACATTAGAGTTTACGACCAGTAAAGACCAGTTCACGATCACCAGTGACCACTGGTCGCGGACAATCTTTGAAACGTCTTACGACGGTCATCGGTGATCTTCGATAGTCGCAGGTTATCTTATTTACGTCCTACGACCAATTTCAGTCGTAGAGAGGTTTTTGAGCTTGCACAAAATCCTCTCTGCGATCAAACAGGTTGCTAGTGATCTTATAAGGTCTTAGGCTGTCGCACGATCGTCAATCGAAAGTGCGACAATCTTACGACAGTTTTTACAAATTGCCACTAGTCACTGATAATCTTGAGTAGTCTTTAGTAATCGTGTGATGGTCGTACGACAAGTTTTAGGTGATCGCATGACAGGTCACGGGTAGTCGTAAGTAATCCCAGGCAATATTTAGACCATCGTACGTTTGCTGATGACATGGCGTGCGATTTTCAATGATGATTGGTCGTACTATAATCGCAGAAGTACATTTATCTGTTCAAAGAGGGCTTGGTCGCAGACAATCGCCGATGATCGTCGGTTTTACACATCGCCGGTAGTCGCAAGTAATCGTAAGCTCTAGAGTGACTGGGGTTCAAATTAAAATGGATATTAGTTTATACAAATGATCTTAGTTCGATTGTGTCGGAGGCTTTAAGCTTATTGAAACACCCTCGAATCCGTTCCTGGATAAGAAATGAATGTAAAGTTTCTTGCTCATGGAAACAACGGCTGGGTCCAAACACATCAGGTCAGCAATCCTTAGATTACTAAGACGGATATTGACCAGTATACAGCTGCATAAAATGTTTTATAAAGATACAATTATATTTGATAAGTTATTTTAAAGATAACCAAGAGTAACTAAGTAAACATAATGCTGTACTGATTTGAATATGCCAATAACATGGTCCTGCAAAAATTGTGTGATATTGCGCTTTAAGCTTCAATTCAAGGACAATATTAAACAGTTTGGTTATTGTTAGTTTGTTTGTTTCATAAAAACTGCTTGAATCACATTTTATCAGCGTATTTTCAATTTTCTATGTCACCAGACG